AATTGTGGAAACCTTTTGGGAAAAGTGAATTTTTGAGGTTTGATAGCTAATAACACCACTTTTTTTGGAGTAGTAGCATAAAAGTATATATCAATGGAAAGATAATTTAATCAAGAATGTAATGCAACAAAGTTTGTGAAATTATCTGTATTCTATGAAAAGTTATAGCCAAATAACCAGAAAAAGGAAACACAACTTGCTTAGGTTGATATCAGGTTAGCTTTCCTCCATTTGATTGTAGCCAATTAGCACGAGTGTTTAGAGAGTGGGATTCAGTTATTGAATTTTATGGTACTACTTCCCCCAAAAAAGTGAAGTTGTTAGCCATCAAACCTCAAAAATACACTTTTCCCAAAAGGTTTCCACAATTTTGGCCACTACTGAATCCACTGACCACATCCTTTGATTAAAAAGTAACAACAGCCAATTGCAACATATAAGAAATACCTCTACTTCAATAGAGTTGAATGAAGTGGGGATGAAAATAGAAGAATATGAATACGAGGTTGATAAAAATCACCATCTGGAGGACTCTTCTGTACCCCAACTGCTTCTATTCCTCCATTCTCAGAAGATTTTCTATGAGTACCTTAAAACCTGTTGCCAACCTCAAAACATTCTATCTTCTCTTGCCATCAGTTTGATAGTATCACAAATGCTTCCCCTATCCAACTCCATATAAAGGAAAAAGAAAATAATCATTTCTATATTTTCCCAATAATCCCCTTTCTTCATTTTTCAAACATTTATCTAGTTGTATACACCTCTCCGCAACCAAATAGCTATCTTATAACAATAACACTTAGACGTATATACCACTCCACAGTGCTTTATAGCCCTCTGTAAGCAGTTTACAGAGTCAGCATATTGCTTCCAACAATCTGGATCCTCATTTTACCAACCTCGGAAGGATGGAAGGCTGAGTCAACCATGAGTCAATGAGAATCGAACTGCCAGCAACCGGCAGCCAGCAAAAGCAGACTGAAGTACTGCATTCTAATCAGTATGTCACCACGACTCCTTATGAGAAGGCTTGAAAAGGCTCTAAGCCATTTTACTGTTGAAAGAGCTGATCTGGGAGGTGTCCTGAGTCAGGGAAATGGGCTATCAAGATATATAGATGATGTGATAATGGTGGCAGAGGTGGTGATGATAGTTTCAAATACACCATAACTGAGAGATAAATAATTCAGCTCAGCTCTTGAACACAGCTGACATTGATTAACAAAATCATGGAGTTGCCTTTGAACGGGTGTGTTATCCTTAACTTTCTGAATAAAAAAAAAACTAGGCCGCAACATTTATTCCTGATATGCTAGTTTTCTTGTTCTTTTTTATTCCATTCAATCATGTCTGATTTTTGGAAGCTGCCTGAGTAAATCCATGCAATTTTCTGGGCAAGGTTTTTCACAAGTGGTTTGCCATGGCCTCCTTCCTAGAGCTGAGAGAAAAAGACTAACTTAACTCAAGGTCACCCAACTGGCTCTGTGCTTAATGTGGGATTAGAACTCATACTCCGCTGTTTTTTAGCCTGTTGCCTTAACTACTACACCAAGCTGACTTCCTAGTTGCATTTACATATGGAGAATTGGGCGGTGGTGGAAATGATGCTCTGAACTCATATAGTCAAGTCTTACCCATCACTTAATTTTGTTGCATTCTCAGAGCTAACCATATCTCTATGCAAAATGATCAAACACAGATGAGTTCAATTATTCTTATAAGTTGTATATAGTGCCATCTGTGTGACATAAGGGTATTCTTTCAAGACTTTAAACAAATCACCTTTTCTGTTTTCAAAGCAAATAAGGTGCTATATGAACCACAACTTTTAACACATGCATTTTTCTACTTGGAAATAATTATTGCCATAGATAGGAAATGGTGAACATGCATTGTGCAGTTCAGCACATTTGGCCAGTGTAAACATGGTCTGTTCCTTTACATGAGCATGTGTTTGCACATGTACATGTATCACATGTCTGATTATTACCTTATTTATCTCAAACTCCTCTACTTCTTTGGAAGAAATTCTACCTTGTATAAAACAGTCCAAAATTTCTCAAGAATCATCACTGTGTTTGTATTCTAGTTAGCTGAGAGGGAGGAGTTTATAAATTTGTCCCCTAAAATCAGCTGTTTGACATAAAAATTCCATTCTCTATTAGCTCTGCTAAAAGTCCATTATGTTTGCAATTCAGCTTATAAGCACAGAAAACATGAGAAGCAAATGTTTCCATTTGGCCACCTATTAAATATCAACCATAGCTGAGCTTATATACTGTAGTTTTCTGGGTTTAGTTTCCACCAACCGTTGTATTAATGGTTATTTCTAATCCAACGAGATCATTAAAATCTTGCTGTAACTTTGAAGGAGTAAACATTCCAGACTTCCAGCCCTTAACTATCAACAAAATTCACAGATTTCATGCATATTGATAACAAGAAACCTTCTAATATTTCCAACATACTACAACATAAGGTTTCTCATAATGTCTACTTCGTTAGATACATGTTATCAGAAATCTACTCTTAGTTATTATGTCTCTGCATGTAACAGCATGACATATCGTTTTATTTCTCTTGAGTCGTGCATCTGATGAAGTGGACTGTAATCAATTAAATAAAGCTAACACTACAATACTATTGTTTTTGCTACAGCAGATTAATGAGCTAGCCCCTTGGTAATCACATGTTCTTTTTCATAATATGTAAGAGTGAAATGTCTGATGGCTAGATTAGAAGTGGGGAAAGATCAGTGACTCTGCATATGGTTAAAACTGCAGGGATATCTTTGAAAGGGCATATTATTATCTGGTGCTTATGATTGTAAAGTTACATCGCATACTTGTAAACAGAGAAGCAAATTTGGGTAAATTAGCATTGGCAGCTGACTGAATTACTTGCAAATGGAACTGTATTACAAAAGAGATACTAGTTATATTTCACTCAAAGCTTCCAATATGATTGCTTCAGAAGTGAATGATCTGTTACTATTTCCATCGCATGTATGCAGCCACTGACATATTACACATCTGATCCATATATTTCTAATGTAAAAAGAAAAGAAAAGAAAAAGAATTCTTATGCTGTACATAAAGATGCCTTCTTTCTAAAAGGTATCATGTGATGTGGGAAATGATAACACATGAGGCATCATAATAGAGTGTCTGATGGTTTATGTGACTGAAAAAAGCAGTAATTAATTTTGCTATGCTATTGATGTTACAGATGTGGGGTGTTATCCTTACCCCCCCCCCCATTAAACTCCATATTTGGTCAAGAAAATTAATGAGTTAGGTAGCAAAATAGCCTTCTAAGGATCAGGGATCTGTTCTGTTCTCGTGTTTTTATACCACGGCTATTTGCTTAGTTGATTTGTTTCTTCTGTGAAGTCCACTGGTCTTCAAAAGAGGCTTCACATGGTACTGGTTGGACACATAATTCTGAAGAGGCATTCATTCTTCTCCCCAAAGTTCCTCTAGCAGCCGAGTTGTAGTACAGCCAATGCCCACATCAACTGGAACTGAAGGCAGCCATAATTCAACACATCTAGTGATGCCAGGTTAGGAAAGGCTTTTCAATAGTAGCCACATATGTGGCCTCAAAGAATTCCTTCAAACACTCTTTTAACCCAATGCGGTCTCCAGGAACGCTTGCTGTTTTTTGGCATCAGGAGACAATTTCAAAAACTCAAGATGAAAATGTTCCTATTCACCAGTTGCACTTTGGGAAGAGGGAACTGCGTCTCCAGTAGTGACCATTTCTACTTTGAGAACAGCAAACTATGGAGATCATAGAAAAACTGTGCTTCCAGCATCCTTAACCTAACTGTGTCACAGTATGATGCAGAGGCATTGAATAATATACCCTCCAACACAGAGAATCAAATCTAATGTACTTAGGCTGCCCAAAACAGAAAAGTCAAAAATAAAGGAACTGAAACATTTGCCTGGTTACTGGGCATGGTGGGCACAGTGCTGAGAATTTGGATATCGTGATCTGCCAAAGGAAGCAAGGACTCAGGAAGCAGACAGGCACCTTCCCTTCTGACCCTCAGGATGAAATTTATTCAGAGCCTGTTGCTTAAGGAAGCCTCGGAGTAGCTGGGACAAAGGGAAGAGTGGAAACTTCAGCGAGCTCCACGGTCCTGTCTTCCACCTTTTCCTTTCTCTCTCGCTAACAGAGAAGAAGCCAAGTTTTCCCATCTTCAGTCCAACTTGTGAGGCAGTGGACGCACGCGGCAACGGGTCACGGGTGGCGAAGATCATAGGGGGCAGAGGGGGGCTAGGACCAATAGGAAACGAGGCGGCGAGAGCGAATGTCCGGGGACTTTGGGCCCAGCGGAGGGTATTGCCTGGGAGACGGGGCAGGGGAGTCGGGGGTTGTTACTGGAGGAGGCGCCGGCGCTGGGCCCCCAAGACCCACCCACTTCTTCCATCCTTGGCGTGCGAGGGTCCCCGGCGTTGTTCATTCTTGCACGCAACCTCTCCACTTTCCAGCCAGGGCACTTTCCCCCTGATCTTTTCCTTCACGTAAAAGAAACGGGATGGAAGCAGTCCGGTCAAAATTGGCTTCCAAAAGGCGCAGGACAGGTGTTACCTGCGATACCCACGCCCCTCCCTCAATATACGCTGCTCTTCTCTGTGGCCAAGGGTGCTGTCATCGGAGCAGTGTGGCTCCCTTGTAAAGGTTATACACCTGCTCTCGAAAGCTGCTTTCCCCCACTCCACCCCATGCGTGCACGGACACACACACACACAAGCATACACAAGCCAGCTTCAGCGCCCGTCACAGTTTGGCTCCGTATTGATCGGCGCTGCCTGGCCGCGCTTCCCCTGCAATTCCAGGTAGTAAATCAGTGCCAGGCGACTCCACCTCCCGGCGTTGCCATTGGGCGCCTGCTGTGCTCGGGTCGCAGTGATTGGTCGCCTCGCGGGCACAAGCCTTTACATAAGAAGGCGCTCGCTCCGCTGACTTGATAGAGCCGGAGAGATACACATTCACGCACGCCGGGACCGAAAAGAGCGGTGGCCGGAGAGCCACGACAAGCAGCCGCACGTGAAGAGGGCAGTCCGCCCGCTCCGGATGTTTCGCGGCCAGCTGGTAGGCATGGAGCTGCCCCGGCAATCCACCTGCCCGGTGAGTACAACTGTTTCCTGCCCTGCTGTGCCCAAGCCGACCGGAGCAAAGTTTTCCAAATTCCCGAAGAGATGGAGAAGAAAAGTTGCAGTGGGCGATTGATGCGGGGCGGGCGGCCTCGGGGCTATGTAAGCGTAGTCGAGTGCCACGGGAGACTGGCGGGCGGGATTTGGGGTTGAGGGGTGGGCTTCTGGGAGAGAGGGGGGTGGGTGGGGAGGGGCCGTGTGAAGAAGCCCGGGCTTCGGAAACCAGGGAGAAAGGAGTGGAAATGAAGGCTCGCTAGATGGGATGGGGACGGGGAGGCACTTTTGTGCGCTGGGGATGTGCTGAAGAGCCGCTGTGGAGACAGCTCCCGGCTGTCCAATGGCAGGCACGCTGGATCTTGTGAGCGGGGAGCCGTTTCTTGGAGTGCTCGCCTCCGGCAGCGAGCAAAAGCGGAGTGCCAAGGTGACTGCTGCTCTCCAGATTGCACTAGTGCTGCTGGTGGCGGCAGCTGCTAGGGGTGGCAATGCCAGGGTTGAGGTTGGCTCGATACCCTGCAGTTTGACATGGCCGAGGAAAGGCACGGATCCAACTCTGAAGTGTAACTCTATGGGCCCCGGAGTTCTGGCTGCTTCCTGAAGATCTGATAGGTCTGGTTCCCAATTCTTTGATTTTATGGAGGAAAAGAATATCACTTGCCTGCGGTATTAATGCAGGATCTGGGTTAGGAATAGCAAACTCTGGAAAGACAGCAATGCAGACAAAGCCAGTAGCTTTTTTTCTTGTTCGTTGCTCCAGAAAAACAAAACAAAAAAACAAAACAAAACAAAAAACCAATTGGAACCAGAAGCAATACTTGGCCGTTACTGAAGCTCAAACCTGAATTTTATGATGTCAGTGCTTTTGATTGGTTGAACCCGTTTGCCCTCCTGCACTTTGGATAAGAATCTGGTGGGTTGGCATCTTGTGGCATTTCTTTACTAGGCTGATATCGGCACACGTCATTGGCTGAACAGACATGATGTCACCGAGGATACAGGAATGCGTTTGGACAACAACTCTGTGAAGGAGTGATGTCACTAGTCTACAATGAGGCAGAAAACCCCTGTGTCACTGTGAGGCTTTTGGAGAAGCATCCATATTATATTGGTGATGTGCTTCTATAGGAGTTCAACTATCATTTAGAAAAATAGCAGAAAGTATGGAGCAGAAACTGCTTGCTAACACGGAACAGCGGTCCACTTAAATCCTTGGTTCTGCTATGGCCACTAATTTGAAAGTACAGGATTTGCCAGGAGAACATGTCAACTGAGAAAATCACATGCAGTTTTTTCTCCCTTCCTCTGACCAATGGCAAGAAATCAAAGCATGCATTTATTAGGGGATTATTACATAGTGTTAGAATGTTATGCAAATCCCGATTTCTTTCCGACAGAAGAAATCCGTTGTCATCAATCCTACTGGTTTCTGCATACATGGGTACAAATAGCAGTGTAAACAGCCACACCCTAAGAGATCATGAAAATCTTGGAAATGTGCAGCTGCAGACATACCCTCTTGAAGCGCCTTCTCTCTAGTTTGACAATACATATCCCTGCTCCAAACACTATTTTTTAGAAGCTTTTCATCCAGTCAGCATTTGGAAGCACATGACTAGAAAACTAGAAGACAACTACAAAAAGTGGGATTATTATCACAGTCTTTTGTTTGGGGGCAAATTTGCTGCAGCGGGGGTTCAGAATGGGCATTTTTGTCCACACGGCATTCTCTGTGTAAAGAGCAGACCCCTGGTATAATAAAAGATCGTAAGGTCTAGGGGCATGAAGTCAAGCAGATGATTTCCATCAATGTCCACAGCAAGAACAAAATGGCGTCCACTATTTTTTCCCCAGCTGCCAAGGACATCGAAAACCATATCCGTCCCTTGTAACATCTAAGACTGTTTTTGATCTTGGTTTGGCACAAGAAGTAAGTGGATTCAATCTTGAATCCTCTTAACCTATCCGTACCTTCCACTTTCAGAGCTGACCCGAAGAGGTAAGGGAAGTGATCAAAAACAATATAGTAAGCAGCACATCAATGCCTTGCTTCAGTCCATTGCTTTTCTATACAATCCTGTTTGAACATGGGGATGGAGAGGTGCTCCTTGCTTTTCCTTCATCATGTCATGCTGCTCTCTTGATACTTGAAGCCTTTCCATGGGCATCCGATAATGACTTCTGAAAGCATATCGGCAGTGATCGCTGAATTGCCGCCTCCAACCTAGGAAGTAAAATCTTGAAACCCGAGAACAAAACAGGGGTAGGCAACCTTTGGAGTCCAGTAGACACATTGGGAATTTTGAGTCATGTCATGAACAATATCACAAAATGGCTGCCATCGTCACAAAACTGTCAATTTTTTAAAAGACAAATGTGAAATTGATCCCCGCCACTCCTTTTGGCCTCAGCTTCCGATCCAAAATACTCTATTCCATGCCCAGCTTTACTTTTCATTTGAGATTTTGGGGGGTTCCAGGCGGTCCTTTTCTAAACAAAGCCCTGAGCTGCTACACCTACCTACCATTTTTGTTTTCTAAGTAAGTTAGAAAATCGTAGGTGACTTACAGGCACTCATAGGAATGAAGCTGGAGGCTGATGTCTTGCTTTGCTATATGCCAACTTCTTGGTTCAATTTTTCACATGAAAAAGAAATAGTAATATCCACTGAGTAAGGGAGTAAGTTTGTTGGTGTACAGGTAGTCCTCGCTTTACAACAGTTCATTTAGTGACTATTCAAAGTTACAACGCCATTGAAAAAAGTGTCTTATGACCATTTTTCACAACCGTTGCAGCATCCCCATGGTCACGTGATCAAAATTCGGATGCTTGACAACTGACTCATACTTATGACAGTTGCAGTGTCTCAGGATCATGTGATCACCTTTTACGACCTTCTGACAAGTAAAGTCAGTGGGAAAGTCAGATTCACTTAACAGTCATGTTACCAACTTAACAACTGCAGCGATTCACTTAACAACTGTGTCAAAAAGATCATAAAATATCTCACCTAGCAACAGAAATTTTGGTTTCAATTGAGGTCATAAGTCAAGGACTACCTGTACTTGGATGTTGTTTTGTTCAACCAGGACTAGAAACTTCATCAGCCGACTTGGGGCTAGATCACGTATGGATTTAAGTGGAGATGATAACAATTACGCTAACTCACCCCTATCTGACACTCTTCAGATGTATCGGGGCCCAAATTCCAGTCATCCCGTCACATAGTGAGATGTGCTGGCTAAGGTTAATGAGAATTATGCTCCAATGTTTGGGAGCGGCTAAGCTACGCAAATGCCAGGCACAAAATTGAATAGATTTGTATTAGAATCTCTAGGAAAGTAGGGTATAAATTATAATGCAGAACCAATGCAAAAATGCAATTCGGGGCTGGGCGGGGGTAAGATAAATTTTTAATCTGTATGCCTTTTCCTGTGAAATACTTTATAGTAGCTATAACATATGATGAAATATAGGATCATGGTTCCTAATCAGCTTTCCTCAATAACTATTGGAAACTCTTTAAAATAGGCCTAAAAACAGAACTGTTTCCCATATAAGGATTTTGTAATGTGTTCAGCAACTTTATCTGACAGCGCCAGGAGCATAAACGTCAGGTCTTCCAAGGTCCAAGGGGAAAGCTGAAGTCCCAGAAGAGGAAGAACAGAGGTTACAAGGATCAAGTACATTTTCTTCATTGCCTGCGCCCAGGTGCAAGGTCTGAGTGCATGTTTGTGCGTGTTTAGGAAGGCAACTTAATTAATGGCCATTTCCCTAATGATCTATCTAGAAATGTACACTGATGTATGAGTTTAATTAGCTCAAGCCAAATGCTGGGAGTGCGACAGAAAAACACGTTGTCTTTGTCACCAGGCGCCTGTTACCATCCTATGTTTTTGGAAACTTATTTAATGAAGAGTTAATCTGTGCCTAAACTGGAGGATAGTATCAGCTACTGGCCTTGTATGATGGATTGTTCTTCTGTGGAAGAACACATGAAAGATGCATTTGCTCTTGTACTTCCTACCTGGTCATTTGACCTATAGATACCTATGAATGGCTCCTTCATTGTTTCTAAAGTGAATAGGTGGAGTTTTTCTTGATGAGAGGACCGAACCCGATAGCTCCTATATTATTGCATCATAACTATTCATAGTAATCATTATTAATTGCAATTATATGCACCCAGGGCCTCCTCTCTTATATAATGGGAATAACCAGGTTTACTAAGGCTTTTCGATTTTTATTTTGGGTAGGTTTCTTATATTTCAGGCCACATCATGAATTCTGCAGCCCTAAATTCTATTGCAAAGCATAATGAAATAGATAAATTTCATCCACTGCCTCTTCAGAGAATAATTTTGAGCATATGGTAATTCCAGTGAAGTCATGGAAAGTCTTGGAGGCTTGCTGATCTCCGAGCAGGAGGAGAAAAAGTGTAGGACCTGCCTAGTCGTAGTACCATCTGCCTATCAGTGTAGGTAGAGTGGATACTCACAATTGTTCAAGACCACCTCTGGCTTTGGATTCAGCAGGAAGATTTGCAAGAGCTCACCTTGAGATCTGTTTTGTATAAGTGTTAATACCACAGGGTACTGCTAAGAGGGGTTAGGAGAGTCCCAAAAGGCCAATAATAGAGCTAATGAGTTATTATCTGTAGAAATGTTCACAAGACAGATTACCTATTCCATAGTGCATTTTGACAGCCTTCTTATTCACACAATCAGGGTGGATAAAACATGATGAAACGATGGGCTTCTCCCCCTTCACACTTTCATTCCAAGGGACTTTAAAGGGACTATTGATTCTAACCTACAATACTGATTATAAGAATACTCCAAACTGACAGCCCTGGCCGGGGGAGGAAAGATAGTTATTAACATAAGATATAAGCGTTTTCATATGCGGATACTGACAGCATGAAGAAGTGCTTTTTTTCTTGCTAAGCTTTAACTACTCTTGTTGTGTTTCCAAATGAGGGGGAAAGAGGTTCATCTGTTTTAAGGATTAACGAATCTCACAGCAAAATGCCCTTCTCATGAAGTAAAGGAGACTATCCTATCTCAGAGTCTACCTTGAACTGAAAGGTGATTTCTGGCTCAAGATGTTTTATTTGCTGCCATCTTCTTTTCTTTTCTTTTCTTTTCTTTTCTTTTCTTTTCTTTTCTTTTCTTTTCTTTTCTTTTCTTTTCTTGTCTTCTCGCATGAACTACTCCATAGGAGAGATCAACAGACATTCTGTGGAAGTGTTTTAATGTTGAGAAGATCCTGCCTCAAGAAGCAGACTAGATGGTCCTCAGGATTGTTTGATCTTCATCAGAGTTACTGGAAAGTTATAAAGCAGAGTGTGATCAACTTAAAACAGAAGATTATTAAAATACTTGCTCACATCACTGCATTTGGGTTTAATTCTACACTATGTGCCTGATATTTTTTATAGATTCTTTCCCTCCCATCTTCTAGCTCAGGCTAAGCACAAAATTAGCTTCTACTCTTTGATGGAATCAAAGGAGAGAGAGGTAACATTCTTCTTGAAGGAATGAATGAAGGTCCTTTCTCTTCCTTTTAATTCTGATGAATGAATGTGAGACCTAATGGTCTAACCTAGTATATTTTTGTTTCTCTTCAGCAGGGATGTGGAACGCTGAACTAATATGGTTTCACATCCCAGAGTGAATTCTGAGACAGCTGAATTGACTTTCAGTCCTGAAACTAGATGTTTGGTACAAACTATAGTGTCAGCACATCCTGCTCTTCACAACAGCTGAAACTTTCCATAAATCTAGCATTCCAATGCTTCCTCCCTAAGCTTAGAAGGTTAAGAAGCAGAAGTTTCCTGCCCACACTAGAGTAAAAAACATCTTTATTGGTACTTGAGCATTAGGCAACTGCTGACCAATCCAGAACCAAACGAAGGTCTTCAAAAGTGCTTGCCCAATTCTGCAAGGGGTGGCAGCAATGCTACCCCTAAGAATGTATCAAGATGGTTATATCAGATCCCTGCCAATGCTTATCTGCATGGGTAAGTAGCAGTGAAATGGGCAAAACAAGCTAGATTTTGAGCCATGTTCACAAAATGGTTAGAATGCAGTACTGCAGGCAAATTTGAGCCTGGAGTTCAATACTGATTGGTTCAAGATTGATATAGCCTTCCATCCGGACCCAGATTGTTGGGGGCAATATGCTGACATTTGTAAACCGACCAGTGAGTGCTGTTAAGCGGTACGAAGCAGTATCTAAGTCTTAAGTGCTATTACTATTGCTATTTTCTATAGTGTTATGATCTGTTATGGAATTCCTGCATTAAAAAAAAAAATCCCAGTTACTGAGTGAATGGGTGATGTAGCCACATGCTTCTCTTTATAGGTGCCAAGGTTGCTGCTACTGCTGTTGTGGAGCCTGGTTCTGCCTTGGCCTGGTGAAGGATCCCAGCGCAGTAAACCCATGTTCACAGCAGTCACGGATCAAGTCCTTCCCCCTGACTATGACAGCAACCCAATTCAGCTCAACTATGGTGTGGCTGTGACTGATGCAGACCGGGATGGAGACTTCGAGATTATCGTGGCTGGGTGGGTACCAAGGAAAATGCTAAGTATTGCTAGATGCCTGGGAAGTTGAGGAGGGAGATGCTGCCACCCCACAAGGAGCCATATTTGAGGAGAAAGAATAGCCTAGAGTTAAGAAGATGCAAGGCAGATGATTACATCCCAAAAGCTGGTTTCATACAAAAGGCCAAAAACACAGTGTAGTCTATTATTATTATTATTATTATTATTATTATTATTATTATTATTATTACTACTACTACTACATTTATATATTGCCTTTCTCACAATCTCAAGCTTCTCTGGGCAGTTTGGCTAACTGCCATACGGTATGTGAATTCATCCAAAGTAAGAATCAAATATATAGATTTGTTTGCAAGCCATGCCCAACTATTATTTATTTTCATCATGGAATATTGAACAAGCTATAATGGTCCGAGTTACATATAAGAAAAGCCCTAAATCACCTTGTAATCACAATGGCTGGATGCGGATGTTATATTAATACAAAACTAAACAAATTACATTAAAAGTTAATGCAGTGAATTTAATACAGTGTGAATTCAGACCCTGTTTCTCAGAAGAACATGGACACCGCTATGTTTGTGGGGTTGTACAAATGTCCTGGACTAAAACTAACATTCCCAGTTAGTGGGATTTGGTTTTGCTGGTTGGGGCCTATGAGAAATGTCTTTGGAAACCTCTGAAGGGCATTAAATTGGGGAAGGCTGTAAAAGGAAGAAAAAAGTATACATGTTCATACTCTACTTTGCTCTTAGAACATGTAAAGATTGATATGGATCCTCTGGAATAAGCCAAAAATAACATCTGTGCAATGATTCAATTCCAGATGTGTATGTGGGTTTTCAATGGAGCTGTACAGTGACATCCTCAAAGCTTACAGCTTAAACTGTCTCCTGCATCACTTCCCTGATTAACTGCCTCTGCCAGTAGCCTTCTCAGCTCTCACCCAGCTTACCCAACCTGTCCAGGCTGCAATCATGACCTAGGAAGTAGAGGCCAGAGAGGGCTGTCTCTTTATACCTGGCCACTGCTAGTATAACTTGGACTGTCATAAAACATGTCTCAGTTGCACTGAGCTGGAAAGAACCTATATCCATTGAAAAGCTCTTCTGTCTAGGATTTCCTGGAAAACAGAGAAATTGTTTCTGTAACCACATTCATTTCACCAAGCCTTCTCTATCTCTTCTTGGCCTTGATTTTTCCTAGCTCTTTCTAAGTTGTTTTCCATCTCTTCATACCATCCCTATAGCAGGAAGACAGGATCGCAAGTCTGCTTTAAACACATGGACTGCTAGGGCCATAGTTTTAGAGCCCCACAATTTTCTGTTTCATCCCCACTGGGCTACTAGGGATCTCAGCTGCCTGAAGTTGAATTCTGTCTCAGTGATCTTCCAGGATCTTTCACTGACAGATTCATATCTGCATGGCTAGCAATTTTTCATTTGGATTCATCAGTATGGCACCTCTTCTAAGATTGCTCGTATCAGTAAAACATTTAACTGCTCCACAAACTGTAGTCCACCTGCTGCTACACGGGCTCTGTGGAAGATCAGTCTTCAGCCTTACTGAATGATCACAGAGAAGAAGCCACCCAGAATGGATGGGCAAGCTGTTCTTCAAACATTTGTTTTCTTCATGTCCTGGGAGACATACGGTATCTGGAATAGAGGGTCCCAGTGGTTTTTTTAAAAAAAGACCTAAGCCATAAGGACTCAAGACTGGGCCTGGAAGCCAACTGGGAACCAACACAGCCTTGTAAGATAACTGTTACTCTGCTGCACTGTACTCTGTTGTTTTCAATGGTCACCCATAGAGCATATTTCAATCTATCCAGATGACTAGGTCATCAATTACTATACAGGGAGCTGTTGATTTACAACACTTAATTTAGTGACCATTCAAAGTTACAATGGCTTTGAAAAACAACCGTAAGTCCCTTTTTTCAAAGCCATTTTCAAAGCTTTTTTTTTTTTAAAGGGACTTATGGCTGTTTTTCCACACATATGACCACAGCAGCATCCCCATGGTCACATGGTCAAAATTCAGATGCTTGGCAATTGACTCATATTTATGTCCGTTGCTGTGTCTCAAGGTCATGTGACCACTTTTACAATCTTCTGACAAGCCATGTCAATGGAAAAATCAGATTTACTTAACAACTGCGTTACTAACTTAACGATTGCAGTGATTCACTTAACAACTGTGGGAAGAAAGATAATCAAATGGGGCAAAATTCACTCAAGTGTTTCATTTAACAAATGTTTCACTTAGCAGCAGAAATTTGGGGTTCAGTTGAGGTTGTAAGTCAAGGACTATCTGTAGTTGGAACCTATTTCTAGCCTCTAGGCACCAGGTCAAAGCTGTTACTATATCTCTTTCTTGGCTGAAGTGGAGCCATACAGTCATAGTTGTACTGATAACACCCCACTTCAAACTAAAGAATGACCTCTCTCGATAGTTTCATATATATGCTAAAAAGAATGCAAGATAAGACTTGACCTCTCTTCCCCCATCAACATTCATTTCTCCAATTTTGAACCCACCTTAATTAGCTAACCTTTCAGGTTGAGGAACTTTTTCCTCTCAATTCTTCATGCTGACTTTCCCCAACCTGATGGCCTCCAGTAGTGTAGTAATGACAGCTTCTAGAATTTTCCTACCGGGAGAATCTGAGAATTGTAATTCCAATGTAACTGGAAAACTTGGTTGGGGAATGCTGCTTTATACAAAGGCTGTGATCCTTGGAACCCATATTATCAGGGGTGGGATTCTATCACTTCACACCTATTCACTAATTGTGGTTGTTAACATTCTAAGCAGTGGAATGTTCTAGTAGAATGGTTGTTAACATTCTAAGCAATTTAGAGAACCGGTTGTTAGAAGAAATTACTGACCTAATCCTGTAAGGAAGGCAGGAAGGAAACATTCTGATGTTGCTTACAGAAACTGCTTCTCCATTAACCCTTATTACATTCTTGGCAGGACTAGACTTCCTGTCTCAGAAACTTCTCTGGAGTTTTTTTTCCCTCCTTTGCTGGTACTTTGCTTGTGTGGAGTGACCATTCAAAGTTACAGTGGCACTGAAAAAAGTGACTTACAGCCATTTTTCACACATATGACTGTTGCAACATCCTCACAGTCATGAGAGGCCAGGCGAGGAGATGCGTGCCTCGATGTGAGTGATATTGAGTTGGCCACATCCAGCTAATAACATGACCACCAAGCCAAGCCCACCACCTAAGCCACAGAATCAATTGTTAAAAATTTTGAATCCCACTCCTGCATATTAACTTATTACGCTTAGAAAACTATGGAGAGACAGGTATTTCTCATAGGTGAGAAAAGTTTAGGCAAGTCAAGAGATGTGGAAGAGTGCCCTGGTTTGACCTGAAGAAAAACAAACTTTCTCTTGCTCTGAGCAGAGGCAACCTTCTCTCTCGCTCTTCTGACAGACTCAGTGTGCACCTTGACATTGTGTTAATTGGCTGAAGCAGAGTGAGAGAGGGCTTCATCGCATTATTGACAGTGTGCTTGGCTTGAGTTGGTGCACAGGAGTGAGCAGGCATTCAGCTGTGTGCTCCTTGCATCCCTAATCTGACAGTCCCTTGAAGAGGAAGGATAGAAGGAAATGGAAACCAGCCTGGCCAGCTGCTCAAAGAGAAACGGCATGTTTTGCCTTTAGGGTGATCATGGTGGACACGCCTTGACGAATGTGCATATGGAGAAGTGGAAGTTTCCCATGAATGAACCATCAGGAATGTGTTCATACTTGCCAGGGCTACTTTAATGTATTATTAAGAAGAGGCATGTTATCACACAGGAAACAATACCTTATTCATTTGTCACATTTTTAAACATCACACCTCCCTCACAAAGGGACCTTACGTTAGAAGGGTATGAGTTCAGCTCTTAAAGGATCCTCATAATCTCTATGTAGGAATTCTATAATCCTTTTAAGAACAAATAAGTATCAGATAATGAACTGAGTATTCAGCCAGCTCACTGGCTTCCCCGACCCGCTGCCCCTCCAATTGTTGGACTGTGGTGCCTCACTCTAACTCTACCTAGTAGTTAGGAATGATAAGGGCTCCAAATCGGGAGAAATCAATTCTAATTCTCAAATATTACCAAAAGAAATTAATAGTCCCTTCTGGATGATTGTAAGTGATGCATTAATACAAGGAGACTAAAAACTGGGCTGCACATCTCATATTTAACAATATTGCAATTACTTAAAATAATGATGATGGATAATCCTTGTAAATGATCTGAAAGTGTGGGAATCAGCATTTCTCCCAATTTTACTGACTACAAAGTTAGGTTTCCTGAGATTTGTAGGCTTCTTTACAGGATATCCATCCTGCAGTTTTCCTTAATTTAGCCCCCTCTAGATATTCCAAATAACAAATCCATAAGATCCATTCAACGTATGATTGGAAAATATGGGGAATATAGTTAAAAACATCTTGAGAGTGCCCAAATGGGAAAGGTTGTAGTTTCCCCCCCCAAAATGGTGTTTAAGTGCATTGTGGTACAATCCTATAACTGCTAGCCAGAATGCCAATTCAACCAAATTCACTGGGAATGATAGAAGTGACCATCCACTTGGGGGACGGGGGACTTTTTACAATAAGATATTCCTCTGGGTAAGAATTATATTCAACCTGTTGCTGATTAATCCCTGATTGCTTCAATTTCTGAGAGGGAGCTATACCTGGCAAACTTATTAATCTATGTGTTCACCTGAATCCATCCATCCTTTTTTATTCCCGTCGTTCCTCTGACCTTCCTTCATGGATGTGCATTCCAGACGCGACATCTCCATCACTCTGTCCTAAACTGTCACCACATTGTTAGTATTCTTACTAAAGTAGAAACATTGTGCTAGTTCTTTAGTTATGGCCTTAACAGAGGCAAGCAGAGCAACTGGAGACTCTTTCTGAGCAATGATTTATTTGTAGCCTGAAAAAGACTTATTTCTGCTTTTGCCGCACTCCCTCACAATTTTGCATTATAATTGCTCCCCCCAAACATGCACACATACATCTCTAGGTCACAATAGTGACTTATTTGGTATTTAGGCTTAAAGCCCCTTCACAGAATTGGAATGGAATACAATAAAAACAAAAGAGAATGTTATCACATATTTAAAAGGCAATACATTAAAAAAAAACCAATAACACTAATAAATAAATCACCTAAATCCCTGACAGGGCAAAAAACAATTGTAATATGGTAGTGAAGATACAACGTCACTTTTGTGGAAGGGGCATTTGATCAAAGCAGAGATCTTGGCAGGCTGGCACACAAGAGGCCATACAAGCTATAGCAGCATATTCCCATGCCAGGGCACTCAAAACCCATACCTTGGGTTTCCTAGTTTAAGAATGAGAACTATGTTAGAACTGCTGCCACCAGAAGATGGTCAATGCAGAGTTTGCAAGCATCATTTGCAGATCTCATATACCCAATATTTCTAATTTCCTTTTGATATTGCTCTTAATAAAGGATAACAAAGCACCTCATTCAGTCATTGGCTGCAGCTGCCCATATTAATACAGCTTTATGTCACAGAGTGCAACCTTTTGCGGGAAAATTCCCACCCTAAGATTGCCAATGCTATGCTTTCTAATATAGTACATTTAAAATCTTGCAATGGTTACATAAATTAGAATATCATTCTGAAAGAGAACAACTGCTAGAACAACCCAAAACAATATTAAGCCAGACATGTGGCTTTTATTACATGTAAGTTTCTTTCCCACTGATCTTTCTAGAAGAAGAATATGGGAGATCTTGAAGTGATTCAAGTAGTTGAAGATTCCAAGAGGCAATTATATTATTATAGATATAATAATTTCAGCCATAATATAAACTACAGTGTTTTCTGCATCTACTTTTATTAAAGGTTGAAGAACACACACACACACACACACACACCTTAAAATAGAGGATTGTCATGTTTTCTGAAGGCAGTTTTTCCTGCTTTCCTACCAAGTCCCCACTTCAAAACACACCTAGAACAGGAGCCAAAATGTGTTACTAAGGGCATTTCATAGATCCCCTGACACATGAAATTCAGCCTCTGATGCAGGCTTGGCCTTTTGCATTAATTGGTTTCTTGAAAGGCTCCCCTCTTGATCTCCTTTGGGGATAGAAATTTTCCCCTGGGATTTAAAATAGTGCCCTCGACGTTTTACCAAATTCTATTTTTATTACTAGCTACCAGGACTCTCCTCCTTCCCTCATCCCCTGTTGTATTTTCTCTCTGTGCTGTACATTTTCAGCCTTAGCAAACTCTATGCTAACCACATTAGAGTCACACATCATTAGCTGCCAGATGAAACCACTCAGGCGTTTCTGCAACTTTGCATTGTGTGATGTTAACATGGATGGATGTCTCAAAGAATTCAGAACTCTCCCTTAATCAAGCAAGCAAAATTCTACACAACTAGAGGAAGGACCAAATCCATTAATAAGACAGATAAGTATTCTATAAAAGCAGTATTCTTGATCTGATACTGCAGTAATTTAGGTTTGTGTCAGTTCTGTATCAGAGATCTTCCCAGTATCTCTTCTTGACAAGGGCTTTAGGTCAAACCCATGTAATATGCCTTTTAACAAAACAGCCCAGATAAACCCTGATTCCTGAATAGGAGGAGAAACTTCTATTTGCATCTTGCATACATTAGTTGTCTGAAATAAGATAAGAAAGAAATTTCTTTTGGGCCTTTACCATTTGGTTTCCATTTTCCTGAGAAGCCCCAGTGGTGCCTGACTTAATCCCCAAATCCTTCAGCATGTCAGAAAAGATTTAGAAAAGGAACTTCGTCTCTATAAATATAGGAAACACGAAATCCAGCCCTTCTTCTTTAACCTATTTTTCCCCATGAATCTCACTGATCTGAAAAAGGGAACAGTATAAGCTATGTGGAAAAACAAAATGATTTCAACATACATAACTATAACATTTTTATGTGCATTTGTCTTGCATTGGAGGAAAAAATAGACTTTCCTGATTTTTTAAAAAATATAATCCTAAACTCCATAAGCATCATTCCTCCTGAACTCTGTACTTTGTCCTATGAAAGGTTTTAATCAACTTTGGTGAATTATGTGCCTTGAAATCTTACCAGATTAATGTATTAACTCTGTACTTCAAAGCATTTTTATAAATGTGTGATGTTGTTCAGCAGACACGAGGAAAACAATGGCTCTATTCCTTTTTCTCTGTTGACTTTTTCTCACAAAATTGGACAGTTTTTTGGAAAGGTAGCTATGGCAGTTGCTGAGAGCCTTGTGACTCATTAAAATCTAACAAATCCATTATGGCAGAAAAGAGGCAGGGAGGTGATTAATCCAGTGTGCTAGAACTCAGCCTGAGTTACTGGCTTCTTAATAAGGCAGAGCGCTGCAAATGATAAAAAAATATGGAAAGCATATTGGTTCCCACCACTGTTCTCTTCATTAAAGTCCATTCCTTTCTCTTCTCCAAGAAGATATTGGGAATGCTTGGTTGCCTAATTGAGGAACTACATTACAGCAATAGAAAAACTTCACTTTGATAGGAAAAAAAAGAGAAAAACTATTGAGAAGGGCTAATATCTGAAACCACTCTTGCTTCATTTCTTACTCTCTGTTCCTTTAGGTATAATGGACCCAACCTGGTGCTGAAGTACGACAAGGCACGGGGCCGGCTGTTAAATCTTGCAGTGGATGAACACAACTCCCCCTACTATGCACTGAGGGATCGCCAGGGCAATGCAATTGGTGTGACAGCCTGTGACATTGATGGAGATGGATGGGAGGAAATTTACTTCCTAAACACCAATAATGCCTTTTCTGGTGTGTGTAGAAGTCATCCATCCCTGACGTTTAACTTACCACTGACACCAAATTAACGCATCAAACCTCTTGAATGTTCTATGCATTTCCCTTCTGATATCCATCCAACTGTGATATACAACATACTGTATGTCTGGAAATCCTCCCATTGTAGCAGCTTGACATTGTAGTGCTAACTGGTTCCAGGATCCATTTAAACTGCCCAAAAGAGGGGACAGAAGTGATTCTCGGAGGGGACACATAGTGATGTGGCTGAAGGCCAGGAGTCTGTTCAGCCATCTTTCTTTATTTTCTGTGGTGTCCTGTAGGCTTCCCTCTGCATAGCTTACTCTGGGACCTCGCCTGCTAGCCTTGTACCAATTCCTGACCTTCACTGGCCACCAGGGTGTGATGTTTCAAGCCTGGAGTTAATTTCCCAGCTGAGTGATTTTGTCGATTCTCTGGCAGCAGTGGGGCTGGCAGACAGTGGGGGTTTGGAGTGGGGTAGAGGGACTTGGCTGCTGACTCAGAGTTTTGCCAGATCTCTACTTGCCAGCAGTGACTGCAGCTCTGAAGGCTTAGAATTGCGTCTCTGGGACAACGTGCCTTGAGATGAATAAGACAGAGGAAAAATGGCAAACCTCTGAAGCATCTAGGCCTCGGTGGCTCCACTGTCATTATTGTTTTCCTTTGGGAGGATGAGTATCTAACTGCTAGGCTGGCACTGGGCTCCTTTACAATATGCTGTTGCCAAAGTCACATATGTAGCACTAGTCCACGTCTGTACCCTGCCAGCCTAATCTTTATGGCCTAGCCCTTGCTTAGCAGAAATTGCAGTTAGACCGCTTTTCTTTTCTGAGCATCAGGTGGGCTTGTGGGGTTTTCTGGGAAATGCTGCTTGACCACTGGCTTTTCTGTTAAGATTCCATGCTGGATTTTGGCTGCTTCCACATTCTTTCTGAATAGCTCGTGGCAACCCCGGAACAAGGATTGCTTTCCTGCCACTTGCTCGGAGCCCCTCTTTAGATCTCTCTCACTCTTTCCCTAGGAAAAAAACACCATCCAGCCCCTGCTCCTTCCAGAGTTGGGCTGGATCCTTTACCTGCCTCATCGATCTACTCTTGGTTCTGCTTATCTGTCTTCCTGACACACCTAATTACAGCTTTGCAGCTACCAAAGACTCCCACTCTTTAAATCAGCCAATCACATTACTCCCAGCATCAGGGTCTGGCCATCGATTTTTTCTTTTCCCTTTATGATGTACATGGCTCCGTGCTGCTTTGGCACATTTTCCCTTAATGAATGTATTCTTCTCGACCTCCCTTACCAACACTTAAGCTTTGTTGGAGTTGCTGCATTCACGGCAGTGCCAGCCCTGCATACTAGCTAGCAGTTAGAGACTCACTGAGTATTGGAGTGGAGAAGCTGTAAAGGCTGACAGTCAGGAACGAGGTGCTCAAAGCAGAGAAGAAAAAAGAAGGTTTCAGTTTGTAGTGATAAGGTGGGACAGGGATTTTTTGATGGTCGCATACACAATCTGCACGTACATACAAATTTCACATCTGCATAGTGCAACTGTGTTGTTTCGGGGTGGGTTTATGCCAAATCGTTCCACCTCTGATCACTGGAAACTTGGAGCCCTTTTCCCAAAGGACTCGGTTGAGGTCCTAGAGAAAGCACAGCTCTGCCTGGTTCCCCCATCTTTGACAAGAGAAAGAGCGTACTGAGATGGAGTAGAGCCTGAAGCCATAAGATGCTTGATGTCTTCTCTCTCTTTCCCAGGTGTAGCCACCTATACAGATAAACTCTTCAAGTTCCGCAATGGGCGCTGGGAGGACATCTTGAGTGATGAGGTGAACCGGGGTGTGGCAAGCCGGTTTGCTGGGCGTTCCGTGGCATGCGTAGACAGGCTGGTGAGTGCATGAGGCTGGCTCGCTGGGGCTATCCCTTCAGAATCAGTGGCCTCTGGCATATATGCGGAAGAAAGACATTGGAACCCAAGAAGCATAATCTAAGCTGCATAAAGAGAAAAAAAAATGTTTTTGGAGAGGCCTTGTTCTCTACCCAGCCTCCCTGTGACCAGGCTCTGCCCCCTCCCTCACAGCTGTCAGGACTCCCATCAGGGGCTGCAGTGCCAGGCGAGTGCCGTGCTGCTGATAAACACCGCCTGTCTGGGTGATTTATGCCCCTGTCACCTGCATTTTCTTCTCTCTCTACCTTGCGTGGTTTGTTTTCCAATGATTATTGCTAAATCAGGGTGCCATGGGAGAACAAAAGGGGGCAGATGGTGGCTGACAAAGAAGCCTGGGGCAAACATGGGCACGTGAAGACCTGGCATGTTTCTTTTGGAAGCCCCCTAGCAAGGATAAGAAAACAATCGTGTCTTCTGAGTAGACTGTTTTAGCTTGTATGTTCAAGGGTCTGGCGTGGCATTTCCTTTACCAGACTTATCCTTATCACAACTGTGGAACGGCAACCCACTAGAGGCACCTAATATGAGGAACCATAGCTTGAATATTTTGTGGCTCATTGTGTTTTGGAAACTCAGCCATTTCATTATACGAACCAGATTGTTGTGTTACACCATCACAGTTTACATTTGGGCATAATATAGGAACACAGGAATTGTATTTTGTTCCTCTGGTTTGGTGGGTTCACATGTTATGTGAATCTAGCTCTTCTGTCCAACATGTGGGGAATGGATGGGAATGCTTCACTGGAGCTTCGGTTCTCAGCAGTTCTACTCCCTTCCTTCCTGCAGGGGTCTGGCCGCTATTCCATTTACATAGCTAACTATGCCAATGGAAGAGTTGGTCCTCATGCCCTCATTGAGATGGACACAGCTGCCAGTGACCTAGAGCATGGTATTGTGGCACTGAATGATGTGGCTGCAGAAGCTGGAGTCAATAAATTCACAGGTATGAGGGAAGCAGAAAGTTGCTATATTGCTAAAGAAGACCTGGGGATATAAACTGGGGAGAGCTTTGATCAGAATGAACTCCAGGTTTGAAGGAATGTCCTCCATGAGGTCTTCCTTAGTTGCGTTGCCTTAAGGTTCAGAATAAATTTATCTTTTAGTGCCATAGAATGTAATTCATGGGGTTTTTTTTCCCCCATGTTAGTATTTCCTCTGAACAGCAGCCTGTTTTTGTTTTTCCTGAAATTTTCCATTCCATAATGCATTTTTGTGGAGGGAAAATAAAATGGTTTTCAGCAAGAAAGAAATGGGAGTTCTTTATGATGGAAACTATTTTGCTTCAGAATCTTCCATTGGTCCCTTCTTAAAATCCCACACTACCCAGGCATAATAGCACATCTGGAGCTTTAGGGCAACACAATTGTAGCCATCAACTGAGTTCTGGCTGCCAGAAACAGACCTCTGAGATGGAAGGAAAACTTGCCTCACACAATGCTGGCCCAGTCTCTGACTCCAGTCCCGTTCATCTTCCAAGGTCTTGGCTCAGCATTCAAAGGCCCTGGATTCTTACCAAATAATTTTGTGGGTATTAAAGAACTTCAGGGTAAAATAGGGATCCTCACGATGAATTTCAGTGTTTTATCAATGCATAGGATTCACTGTAGACAGAGATGGGAAATAGGAGAACGAATCCATTATTGGGGTTTTGGTCTTATATTCAGGCTGGGATTTATTTCCAGTGCAGTTACTGCTTCACAGGGAGCAGGTGATTGGAAGTGCTCTGGAGCTTTCACTCCTCTTGTTCCCAGGGGGTCGGGGCATAGCGGTGGGTCCCATTCTCAGTGAAGCTGCCTCTGACATATTTTGTGATAATGAGAACGGAGCCAACTTCCTCTTTCAGAACCAGGGCGACGGTACCTTCATAGATGTAGCACCCAGCACTGGTGAGTATGCAGCCTGGCCGAGGGTGTTGGGAGTGGCATCTCTTATCAGATTAAAATGATTTATGTAGTTGCTGGACACTTGAAATTCTACTAGAGTTGAGATTCCCCCCCCCCATCCATCCCAGCCTCCCTATTTCTGGGGAAGGAGGGGGGTTATAAGTGCATCCAGGCTCAACCACCAGTTATTTAGTGCCTGGCTGATGATCACTGGAGTTTAACGAAATGTCAGGCTGGCATCCATCACCGCCGTGCTGCTGATGACACCTATTCTCTTTAGAAACATTCCTTCCATGTCATCAAGGGAATAGGAACACATTGGCGAGAAGGATCTGGGGGCGGGGGGGGGGAGGTGAAAAGCAGATTGCCAGCCCCTCACATGCCTACTCAACTATAGTAGCTGCCAGAAAACCCTCTTCTGTCCACTGCCACCATGGAGCCTAAATTCCTTGAAGTCCAGAACAGCATAAGATTCAGTTCAGTATAGTACATGGGAATGTTCATCCAGCTGACTTCCCGGTCATCCTCCGTAGGGTTGGATGATCCCTACCAACATGGTCGTGGAGTGGCCCTAGCTGACTTCAATCGTGATGGCAAAGTTGACCTTATCTATGGTAACTGGAATGGACCTCACCGGCTCTATCTGCAGGTTAATGCAGGTGGGCGTATCCGCTTCCGAGTAAGTACAACCTGGAAAAGGGAAGTCCAACAGCGGCATATGCCTGGAATGTCCTGGGCTCTGAGCAGGGAAAGAGGGTGAGGGGAATCTGGTAATAAAGTCATGTAAAAAAGAATGGAGCACATAGATTAGGTCCAATCACCAAAGAGACTGATGTCTATACCCCAATTGGATGGCCAGAAATTCCATTTTTTTAAGGATTATCTCCCAGCTCAAGAATGTTCCTTTTTCTCGCTATGTAGATTTGGCAGCATTTTCCTCATCTTAGTTTCTATCCATCAGCAGAACACTCCCTCGTGAAACTATATAGACTTTTAATATTGCCTGCCGCAATTAGCTTCCTACTTTTCAGCCCAGCAACAAAGTCTCCAACCACCTAAATCTATTCCTAATCTTTACTTCCTCTTGGTCCTGCTCAAGCCCAAGCCCTGCCCCACTAATCCCCGTCCTTCCCCCAGGACATTGCCACGCCCAAACTGTCCATGCCATCACCTGTCCGCACCGTCATCGCTGCTGATTTTGACAATGACCAGGAATTGGAGGTCTTCTTCAACAACATCGCGTATCGTGGCTCGTCTGCCAACCGCCTCTTCCGGTGGGTGAGAGCCACATGGCCACCAGAGGCTAGGGCAGTGGGCTCCCTATCTTGCTTGGCCCTGGATACTGCAAGAAAGGTTTCCCAGCAGAGTCTGGTGGAAATCACCCTGTCTTTAAAAAGCTGTGCATGCAAACATGAGAGGAGACAGCTGGGAGGGATACTTCTTGATCCATTGTACAGTGGCATTTACTCTCCTGTGTCATAATCCACAGGAGTGAGATGGTTTCATCAGAACGGAAAGGGCCCCATTTAGTTGCAGCCACTCTTTATACAGTTGACAATGTTGTGACTATCTCACTACTGATACAGCAGTCTGTTCTGCCTAGACCAATCCCTGGAGATTCTGGCTTTCACTAATTAGCACTTATGCACAGTTCCCATTAATTGTAGGCAATCAATGGCTTGTTAAACAGAGTTGCTTACATTTCTCTGACTAATAAAATGATAGCAGCAGCATATGGCAAGTCTAGGGAGTCCGTGCCAAATTTATCATTTTGCAAATGTGCAAGGTCTCTTCCAGAGAAAAGAACAGTGGCAAAAGCAGATACAGCCTAGAGATCTAGCCTGTAGATACAGGGTGGTGATCACCAGAAATAGACTTTCAAAATTAAGGTCCTGTTCAGGGAGGACAACATTCATTACTACAGTCCTTTTCTGCTGCAGGGTTATCCGCCGAGAACATGCCGACCCAGCTATTGAAGAACTGAACCCTGGCGATGCTGTGGAACCAGAGGGGCGTGGCACAGGTGAATCATTGTCATGTCTTTTGTGGGCAGGATTATCATGCATCACTGAGCAAGAATAAAACAGATATAAAAGAGATTGCTGTAACCTATTGGCAATGGTTGGGACAGACCTTCTGCCAGTGATGAATTGTGTACCAGCGATCCCTCTCTGTGCCAGGAAAATCTAGATATCTGGGTTGTTGGCAGTGGGCACAGTTAGGAAACGTGAGTCTAATGGCTCCAAATAACAGTGTATTTATGTGATAAGTTTGCATTAAACCTGTGTTTTGTAAACACTCGATGAACATATGCAAATACTGCAGGTGTTTGAGGGAGAAAGGGAGAGACTGGCAAATCTTCACCTGGGTCCTGTGATGCATCATAACAAAAGCATAATCATTTGTATTCAGCTCAGAGACAAAACATCCATGCGGCCTGACCTCATGGCCTATGGGTTGGTCCCATGATTGGATGCCTCTTAAAGCATATCAAGGAAGAGAAGAATTACCTTTGTGTGTGATTCCTATCAACAGCCAGGAGACTTCATTCCTGAATATCAGGAGCAGAAAGGGAGTAGAGGATTAATAGGAAACTAGGAAAAAATAGTATCTGTGGAGTAGAGAGACCCAGCCAATACCACTGCAGGGAAACTGAATGGAATTGAGCACAGAGAAGAAACTATATTCTGATTTTCTCATGTTGGGCATTATATCATTCAATATCGCTGTTAAGTAATGTGGCCCTTTCACAAAAGTGATGGCCAAAAATGCATTTCCTTACTGAGATTATATCATTTTAGGAGGAGTGGTGGTAGATTTTGATGATGATGGGAAGCTGGATTTAATCCTTTCACATGGTGAATCCATGGCACAACCCCTCTCCGTCTTCAAGGTCAACGAGGTAGGTTTAGAAAATTACCTTAACCCTTAAAGCGTTGAAAATCAAATCTGTATGTCAACAAGCATGGAAGTCCTTCCTCAGTTCCATGACCACTTCATCCCTTTGGCTGAGTCTGTCTGTCCATCTCCACAGGGTGCTGGCAACAACTGGCTGCGGGTGATTCCACGTACACGCTTTGGGGCATTTGCTCGTGGTGCTAAAGTGGTGCTGTTCACACGGCACAGTGGTGCCCATCTGCGCATCATTGATGGAGGGTCTGGGTACTTGTGTGAGATGGAGCCTGTTGCCCATTTCGGCTTGGGTGAGTGAGGAGGAGTAGAGGCAGGGCTTGAAATGCAAAGCAGTGTGTGACCCCAGTCTCTTTTGCCCCAGCCATCTGCCTACTAGTCCAATACAGGTAGTCCTTGACTTACAGCTATTTGTTTAGCGACCATTCAAAATTGCAATGGCATTGGGGAAAAAAGGATTTATGACCATTGGTCACGCTGGCGACCTAGGATCATGTGGTCATGTGATCAGACACTTGGCAAATGGCATGTGTTTATGATGGTTGCAGCGTCCTGGGATCAAGTGATCATCTTTTGTCTGGCAAGCAAAGCCACTGGGAAAGCCAGGTTCACTTTAACAACCATGTTACTATCTTAACAACTGCAGTGATTCACTTAACAATTGGGGCAAGAAAGGTAGTAAAACGCGGCTTAACAACTGTTTTGTTTAGCAACAGAAATTTTGGACTCAGTTGTGGTTGTAAGTTGAGGACTACCTGTAATATACAGTACTAGTTATTACTTATTTCTTCTTCCAAATCAAATTTGAGAGGGAGAACCCTGGTGCAACCTAACACCACCTCTGTATTTGATAGGGTCATATGCAAACAGGCCATGTGACCCTGAAACTGTTGCAAACATGGGCCAATTATTAACAAACTTCAATTCATATTTCCCCACTTTGTTCCACACGGCTTTTTTTATTTTCAAATTAGAGTTCTTGAAAACACAAAAGCTTGCATGCAATTTTCTAAAGCCTAACTTAAGAAAGGCATTGCCATACATGGACTTCACTTTTGTTTTCTTGTGAACAGTTTAGCTTCTTTAGGTTTTTTTTTCTGGAGCTTCCTTGTCTCTCATCCCTCCTAATACTTCCTGATACTCACCAAACATCACTTCTTCTTCTTCCCCACTGTCCTGCCAGAGCTGAAGAAGCTTCTTGAATGAGAAGCGAAACATCTTCAAACAAAAAAAAAATAAGAAACTCCAGTTGCCTCCTGAAAAAAAACACCTTTGGGACTGCAAACTAGATAAAACATTAGGCCTGCCCTTTCACTAACTTATATCCTTATCTTTCCATTCCTTCAAAATGTTTTAATTCAGGGTCTCATCCCTACATTCCTTCTAATTCTATTAAGGTCAAACAAGCATACCAAAGAATCTCCAATACATTTCATACTTTTAAATGTTTTCCCAAGTCTGCCAATTCAGCAGCAAGTTTTTAAAGAGCTCTAACACCTCCCTACTTTATTGGGGCTCCACGGATACTAAACTATTGCTGCAATAAAGCCTATTACCCAATCATAATCCTTTTCTTTGAAAATATTTAGCAAGTTAATGTTATTATCTTATGTATTAATGATAGCTAATTCATCCTCAAGAGAATAAAGGGTGTTCACAGTAATTTACATTCCCAGAGAGTAGACTATTTGTATTACAGTGAAGCCCTGGTTTGCTCCTTCAGCTGGTTTTTTTTTTTTTTTTTTGCAGAAGGCACTGCATTTCTTCACACCTCATTACTCTCCTGCATCCTTGAGGTAGCTTGGTTTAGTGGGGCATTGCCAGGTTAGATTGCACTGTAAGTGAAGCCAAGTAGCTCGGAAATTCAAGGACCCTGTATGCCCAAATATTCCCTGCTGGTCTTGGCACAGAGTAGTTGATGGAACAATGCAACGCCATCACATCTCAAGTTCTTTCATCGCTGTTGGAAACAGCTATTAAAATCTGGGAGGAGGAAAACTAAACATAAATCTGAAGGAAGGGTGGTTTTTAACAACCATTCCTCTTTCTAGGGTGGCTTCAATTTTCTCTATTATTCAACAATTACCTGTGCGTTTTCCTTGTAGGACAGGATGAACCCAGCAGCCTGGAAGTGACTTGGCCAGATGGCAAGTTTATCAGCAGAGCTGTAGTGAGCACTGAGATCAATTCTGTACTCGAGATTCTCTATCCCAAAGACACACCAGGATCACCCACCATTTTAGTTCCTCTTGAGGTAAGCTTCACAATTAAGCCAATTAAAGTTGTGTTTCAGTGTAAGAAATGTTAAGTCATTTTCTCCGTAATGAAAGCAATGAAACTAAATGGGTCCCAAGAAACAAGATACCAATATCATGCTTGTTGAGTAAAAGTATTACAATAATTTTAAAATAAAATAAAAGGTAGTGATTTTCCACACAATTTTACCTTCCAAAAATATTTAAATAAGATATCCAGCAACTCGGGATTGCGAAATATTGGCTCCTAGTGGAAAAAGAAAAAGAGCCAGGAACATAAGGGCAGAAAAGGTGGGGGTGTTGGTCTGTATGACTTTTTACAGGCCTAGATCTCGAGGGAAAGTGTGCCTAGCTGAACAGGAGCTGCTCCCAGCAAGAAGGAAAGATATTTGGGGAAAAGAAAGGCAGATTTGATCATACACTAAATAGGACTCTTCAAATATATGTAGCTACAATATCATTCTAGGAAGGCTGCACCACCTGAAAATGTGATGCTTCCACAAGGGCTGCTAGGCTGATCTAATAAATTTCTGTTAGAGGCCCTTCTTTGATTTCCCTTGCCCCTTTCCATTACCTCCTTTTCCAAAGTTTTTGATATCTGTTCTCTTTCAGTGGCCCAGTTTCTCTAGTCTCATGGAAGAGAATATATTTGGCTTAGGGTTCTTCGTGTTTTTGGAGCTTGGTTGTTTGCTTGCAGACATTTCATTACCCAATTATGTAACATAATCAGTGCAAATCTAAGACTCTTTGAATTGTGATAGCTACATTAAACTAAAGTGGATGTAATAAAGGTGACACTGCTGCAAAATTTGCTTTTGTCAGCAAAGTGACTTCCAATGTTCAAAATCTACTAGCACGAGGTAAGGAACGGCCAAGTCGTCAGTGTAAGAAACTATGTGATAGTAAATGAAGCTGAATAATAAAGGACTGCTGAAATTTGGAAACAAAATTTGAATGTGCCATCTTTCTAAGGAAACAATTGGGTTGGAATCCACAGTATTAGACGACTGTCTTCAGGTAGTGTTGTTCCTCTCTTTCAGAGATAGTGTTCATAAATCCAGAAAAGCTTAAATTGTTCAGGAGTCTGGACAGGAGGAAAAGATTTTGGCTTGGTCCTCACAAGATTAAGTGGCTGTGGCTGTCTGGGCTCCCAAATAGGGAACATTTTCACTGTCTTGGAGGGGGCTGGATGGGGGTAATGCTTCCCCACTTTGAGATTGGTCTGCAACTTGGAAGTCTTCCTGAATATGTAGCTACTGCTCAAAGAGGAGGTGCGGCCGGCAGGTTTTTGCAAAGGTTCATCTTGTGCGTCAGTTGAGCTCTTTTCTTGTCCCAGGAGGCCTTCAGATACTCTCACTCAAGCTTTACTCATCTTGTGACTGTACATGGGGCTGCCCTTGAAGACCTTCTGGGAGCTATAGCTGTATATGTGTAAAAGGTAGAAATGCAAGCACTTCTTGTTATATTCATTTGCCAGCGTTGCTACACGAGCTGCAGTGGCTACCAGTTGGCTTCCAGGTGCAATTTAAGGTGCTGGTCATTACCTATAAAGCCTTCATGCCACCAGGGTCTGGTTTAATCTGCAGAACTGCCTTGTCACCAATCATTTCTGCCTGCCTGGTATCTTCAGACAAAGTGGGCTCAATCCAAGTCCTTTCAGTTAAATAGTCTTACATTGTGAACCCAAGGAACCATGTCTTCTATGTTCCCGCACCGGATGTCTGGAGAAGGATTCCCTCCAAGGGCAGCACTTACCCTCTTATGTTTAATATATTAGTGGAGTCTCTGTCATGATTTTTGTACTGTTACAGCTGTTTTGCCTGGAGTGTTATGTGCTTTGTTGTGATTGTTTTAAATTGCAGATTGGACATTGCCTATAATGGGGTAATGGGGTTTACTTAAAAAGGACTGCTGAAATTTGGAAACAAAATTTGAACATGCCATCTCTATAATGAAAAGATTGGGCACGAGTCTGTAAAGTCTTTACTTGGAGCAGCTTATATCCTGTGACAATACCTTTAATATTGTTGAACAGCATCTGTTATCCCAGGCCTTTGGGAAGGACTCAAAAAGACCAAACTGAGTCTACATATCGGGCTGACTGTACAACCAGCCATAATAATACAATAACACAACCTTTCCGTTTGCAGATACTGGTTTGTGAGTTCTCAACTACATTCACAATAGATAGTGAAGAGATTCAAATTTGCACTGACTGATATTTACCCAGTGCAGATTTTTTTTCTTGCTGCTCCTTCTTATCCAGAAAATCTACTGTGTGCCTTGATTTCCATATGAAGTCTTTGCTGCAAAATAGGAGGCACTGACTTCTACATTTACTGTACAAGAGGGTCAGAAGTGATATTATAACAAAAATACGCCTCAAGATTGGGAGCTGTATACAGGTAATCTTCGATATACAACCTCAGTTGAGCCCAAAATTCCCATTGTTAATCAAAACAGTTAAGTGAGTTTTGCCTCATTTTACAATCTTTTGCTACAGTTGTTAAGCGAATCATTGCAGTTGTTAAATGAACCCTGCAGCTATTAAGTGAATCACCTTGATTTTGCTTGTCAGAAGCTGCCTGGGAAGGTTATAAATGGTCTGGGTCAGTGCTGCGATGATCAACATTTGTAACTTTCCCAGCCAACTTTCGACAAGCAAAATCATTGCAGGAAGCTAGATTCACTTAATAGCTGCAGGATTCACTTAACAACTGCAATGATTCGCTTAATAAATACAAGCCAGTTGCCAAGGGCCTGAATTCTGAGCATGTGACCATGGAGATGCTGCAATAGTTGTGTGAAAACCGGTCATGAGACCCTTTTTTCAGTGCTGTTGTAACTTTGAATGGTCACTAAATGAATGGTTGTAAGTCAAGGACTACCTGTATTAGGGTGTGATCTGAGGCAGAAACTGCAACTACACAAATTGAACAAATCCCTCAAAATATGTATGACAAAAATGAGGTTAGAGATCAGTGGTCTCCTGATGATCTGTTTTTCCTTTTTCCCCTCCTAGTGCGGCCAAGGATTCTCTCAGCACAAGAATGGACGTTGTGTGGGTGAGTCACCTGCCAAGAGAAGATCAGCAAACGCTCCTGGGATGACATTTCTTGGTTCCCACAGCTGGGTTTCCCTGAAGTAGAATGGCGCTCTTTGGTATCCAAACCCTCCAGTGTGGCTGATTTCTGAGGCTGCCTTTTATTATTTCCCATGCTATCTCCCTCTCTCCCCTCTCTCTCACTTCCTTTCTTCCCAGACATGGATGAGTGTGCAGAATTTCCTTTTGTGTGTCCGAGAGGCAGGCCCATCTGCATCAACACATATGGTGGGTACCGTTGCCGCAGCAACAAGCGCTGTAACCGGGGCTTTGAACCCAATGAGGACGGCACCGCTTGTGTTGGTGAGTGATGACATGGGCAGAAGGGAATACCCTTCCCGAAGTCAGCTAGGAAATTCATAAGAAGCTGTCAGGCAGTGAACTCCGAACTTCTTAGTTAGATGGGAAGGAAAGCTTGGAGCGGGAAGCAAATTAACTAACAAGCTCTTAAATTCACCTTGATTAATAACAAATTATTGCAAAGGGTAATACTTCCTGCTCTGTACCCTTGTTAAGCTGAGGAGAAGTATGGTAGATATTTTGCCCGGGCTAGGAAAATTTGGTATCAAACATTCTGGAAACTACTAATCATTGCTGAGCAGTTACTCACCCATTGTGGCTTGCCAGAGGGAAATGGCAGGTGGAGACAAGGGTGCTTGCTTTCCTTCTACCTGTTGCTTGCCAGCTATCACCGGCAGTTCCATGGCTAGAAGACAGTGGCTGGGATTTTTGGACTTCTCTGTGTAGCCCTGCATCTTTTCCCCTAAAGGCTGCCTCCTTGCTGAGTGCCACTAACAAGTGTTCTGTCCTTTCTGCTTCTTTTTCTCTTTCTCTCTGTGTGTAGCTCAAGTGGCCTTTTTCGGTGGATATCCTTCTTCAGGGAGCTGGCTGGGCTCGACCTTGCCATCAGCCCCTCTCCTTTCACTTTGCCTTGGACTCTGCTTTTACTCCTATGCACTTTAAGCCTTGCCAATAAAGGACAGAAGCAGCCTTTATGGATGACTTAGCCTCCCCTCTCCTCCTTCCCTCCAGATCCTCTCATCCAGTTTTCTCATGGTGGTCACTGGAAACATAAACTGAGGTGGGAGCATCCATTATATAGCCCAGCTGATGACACTGGCACTACCGATATACCCTTTGCATGTTTTCTGGGAAAACAGAGAGAGCAGAGGCCCCACTAATGCTTGTCACCTGTGTATGGTGGCCATTTTCTTAGGAGTTTGCCTATAACCAAGAAGGTACCTCTTGCTGGTAGTTGCTTGCTTTGTTAAATCAATAGAGCTACTCTGTGCCTGCTGGTCTGGCCTATGACACAATTGCTTCCCATCCTTCCTCACGCTCCTCCTTTTCCTCCTCTCCAGCCCAATACAAACCTGGATCTTGGTTTGCCTGCAATTGAAATAAACAATCTTCCAGCTGGAGAATTGCTCTCCCTTAACAGCCCCACCCCAATAAACTCTACACTGTCGACAAGCATCTACTTGCAACTATGCTCGGGATGTGAGTGAAATTGGGAGCAATAGCTAATATTCAGAAGAAAGTAGGCCAGAAATTGAGATTAGTTTTAAGCTATGTGCCTATTTCCTTTATGGCAGACCCAGAGCAGCTGCATAGGCAGACATAAGTTGCTTGGTTTTACTTCATTTTAAAACATGTAGCATCCAGTCCTGCTGAATTCTGCTCTACAGAGCCCGGCACATCTGACCAGAAGTCCTCTCCTGGTAGCATCTCTGACTGAAGGTGCTTCCATTTTACAACAACACATTTCCGGCTTGACCTTTCAACATTCCTACTAGAGATGCCTCTGTTTTTTCTTACTTCTTTACCACATTCTTCCCAACCAAAGTCCCTTCCAGATGTATAAATGACAAACCCTAAGATTCTTAGCAAAGGTAAACCTGGCTTAGAAATCTGGAATTGAAATCCATGCATTTGGAAGATTCCCAAGACAGAAACTCTGCTTCACTAAATGCTAGCAGATCTGACCCAATCCTGAGTCAGTTTAATGATTAAGGAGCTGGACTAGGACCAGAGAGTCCCCGGGGGTCCATCCACTTTCGAACATGAAAGTTTGCTGGGTGACTTTAGTCCAGTCTCAGTTTCTCAGCCCAGCCCACTTTAGGAGGTTGAGAGTAGGGGATAGATTTGGAGGAGGGATGCGATGCATGATGCTTTGAGCTCCTGGAGGAAAGGCAGGATAAAAATCTAATAAACAGATACAGGCAACTTATGGACCAGATGCAGCCTTTAATCCTTGTTCTGCAGCCAATAGAGCTGCACTCACTTTGCTAGGCCATGTATGGGAATAATCATTAGCTGAATGGCAAGAAGTGTCTGTCTGTGTGTGTGTGTGTGTGTGCGCGCGCGCGTTCGTGCGTGTGTGTGTGTGTGTGTGTGTGTAGGAATTGAAGTCTTGCCTCTGAGCAAGCTTGTTCCAGATAGTATTTTTTAATCTGCCAATAGCAGCAAATTATAACAGGTTCGTGTTGGGAGAAGGGCTAAAAATTTCTCTGGTGAATGAAGTTCATCAGTTGGGAAGTGTATAACTGAACTGCTGTTGTGTACACATAAATTGAAATGAAACAGCAGGAGTGACTATGCTCTCTACACATGTGATATATCTTTGTGTATTGTGATTCTACCTTCAAATTTTGTCCGCTTGTGCAACTTAAGACATGTGGGGGCCAAATCATTCTTCCTATCCATGATTTTAGAAGTTTATTATATTGCTGCAAGCACAAACAGATGTGAACAAGACACTTTTTTTTTACTAAATATTGTGATTATGACTAAATTGAGCCATGGTGGTGCATGTAGAATGCAGTATTGCAAGCTAAGTCCTCTCACTGGCAGGAGTTTGAACCTGACCTGCTCAAGGTTGACTCAGCCTTCCATCCTTCCAAGGTCAGTAAAATGAGGACCCAGATTGTTGGGGGCGCAATACGCTGATGTTGTAAACCACTCGGAGTACTGTAAAGCACTAGGGGTCTAAGTGCTAGCGCTAAAGGAGGAGATATTATCAGCATATATTCTATTTGTTGCACAGTAAACATCATCACTTTGTAGGGGACCTGTGTTGTGAGCAAACAAAGCACATGTGCCAATGGAGTTGCAATAGACCACGGATTGTGCTCTTTGTCTACAAGTGCATATTCCATTTAGTAATTTTGCTCCTGACTGAGATCCACTGAAACCTTGACTGCTATGTAAAAGGTGAGGTGAAGAAGGGCCATAGGGCACATGATTCAGGTCAGAAGAAAAAAAGAGCAGAGAGGTAACCATTTTACAGGTGTCAACCAATGTAAACAGATGCCTGGGAATTCCTTCCCCAATGCTGAAATGATCAGTTGGTCCCTACTGAAAGAAAAGACTGTCATTTATTTTTATAGGATAAATTTATTATTAATTAGTGAAATTAATAGTGATCCAGACATTGTATAACTTCATGTTGAAACACAGCTTGACTCTGGTATCTCATATTGTAATAAGACAAACATCATATCGTGCCAGTTTTTCTCTGGCTTAGAATAAATGAGAAATCAGAGAGAATATGAATCCCTCCACCCTGCTCCAATCTCCCTTACAGGCCTCTATATCAGTGCTTCTCAGCCTTGGCAACTTTAAGCCAGTGGAGAATTCTAGGTCCATATCTTCCAATCTGCCACCTGACATTCCACCACAGCCTTTCTTTTCTACTTGCTGTGGATAAAGGTGATGTGGTGATGGGTTCTGATCTTGTTACTTTTCCAAGTCTCAGCTGCAACAGGGAGAAAGTTTTAATAGTGGATTGGGAATATTTGATAGGGGGTGGGGGTGGGGTTACTTCTGAATCGAACAGGAACACGTTTGTCTATCCTTAAATAAAAAGATACATAAAAAGAGGAAGAGCTCAAAACTTCAAAGAAGGTGCCATTCCTTTCTGAGCAAATGTTGTGACATTCTGGAAAAACAAAACCCATTATTTAAATTTTATATACATATATTTAGTATTCTCTTTTTACCAGCTTTCAATGCATCTGGAAAGAGTCATTTTGACTAATGTTACTGTTAAGTCTCTTGCCTATAGTGGGGGTTTTCATTTAAATTTTCATTTCTTGGATTCACATAAATCTTCATTTTTCCTGTAGACTAAATAGGCTAGTGGGCAGCACAGATTAATTTGCTTTTTTATTCTTTTTGGAATTTTCTCTTCATAGCAATGTAAAATTGGATCAAAATATTTGAATATCCTTGGTGCAACTCTAGAAGATTTTCTGTTAACCCATCTCTGCTTGCTGCCTTGAATAGGTGACACATTATTTGCACACCTCACATCACCTTGTTGGAAAATCCAGTTTGTCTCTCCCTGCTGTGCAAGCTACATCCTAAGAACTAAAGATGTTTACTTTCTGTATATGTTTCTGTTGCACAAAATGTAAAGGATGCTTGTTAAAGGATCATGAAACAATGTTGAAGAAGCATATATTGCTACTACCAATTACACCAGCCTTTCCAGAGTTGCTGAGAATTCTGGAAGTTTGGTCACACAGTTGGAGTATACCAAGTTGTAAAAGACTGGATGGATCATTTCACTCTAATTTCTTATTCTTCAATATTCATATGACTGCCATGACTGAATATGTACAATGAAGTCTGCATGGCTAGAAAACTCTCACCTGAGGTCTGAGGAACCACTGCCATTCTGGGTAGACAATCTTGACAAAATAAGATCCATTACATATTGAAGAGTCAGGAGCGACTAAATGACAGAATAAAAATGCTGAATTGAAGGAACCTATCCACAACTTTAATATTAGGTAGCTTTCTAAGTTTCTGGATCTGTGGGATGAACTTGCATGAACAATAATAAAACAACCATTTGCAATTTTAAAGTATCCAGTTTTCTGGAATGCTAGAATTTTCATAGGTTCCAAGGTGAAAGTACAGGGAACTGTAATACTAAAAGTGCTTTTACAGCTGTTCTGTCACTTATAGTTGAATGACTTCATTCCTGCTATATGATTAAAAGATCTGTTATTGCATAAACGATGAATCTGTCTTATCACACAGCTGACTCTTAATAACAGAAAAGACTGAAAACAGAGAGACACCATTCAAAACTCAAGCTATACATGATTAAAAGGAACATTTTTAATGTTCTTCAAGAGAAGTGCAAATTGTAGTAGCTTAGAAAATCCCAAACATAGTTTGAGCATATAGAAATGGTAGCCTGGATATAACCTTCCAGCAATGCTTTAAAGGTTGGATGTTGTATTTTGAGCTGGAAAATTAGTTGAGAACAGGCTTGGGCATTGGGCAACCAGTTTGTTCAAGATACTATTGGCAGCTGAGTCAAGGGCCACAAACTCTTGACAGTGACTAATCATATGACTGAAGGCTACTGAGATGGACTTTTCAGCCCGTCTCATTCTGGTCTGTTGAGATAGGAAGTTATGTAAAATGGATGCTTTAAATCTATCAGAGGCTAGTATTTACATTTTATTTAGCAAGTAAATTTAGAAAAATTGTTGCCACTATAAGGAATTTTGTGGTTGATTTCAGGGAATGTTAGAGGTTACAAGGGCCTGGCAGCCACATATCCTCCAAAATTCCAGGTTGCCCACCTCTGATTTAGAGCCAGATGGCTGTCTAGCAGCCAGTCCCTCCCCTTGCTAAATGGAAAGGGGACTCATTCTAAATTCATAATTATCTCGCCTGGCATCTTAGGGATAGCCCATCATTCTCTCATTTCGGAGAGAAAAGGTCCCTGCTAGAGTAGAAACAATGCAACCCACTCCCCCATTTTTTTTTTAAAGAGGTACTGGCTAAGTGGCATGCATAGGGCTAAGTTGCTGATTCAAACCTAGCTAATGAAAGTCTGGGCACAAAAGGCTGCTTTTCAGCTGAACTCCCAGGGACAAGTTAGCAAAGCCATTCAAAGCCACAATGAAGTAATCAAAGACTGTGCAAAAGCTTCAGTAGAGAATGTCAAGGTTTCTTCTGAGGTTGAAACAATTGGCCTTTAGATGATCCATTGGATGCCTGTGATTCTGTGCTTCTGCCCAAAATTTAGTACACGCTGGGAGGACTGTGCTGTTGTGCTTCATGGACAGAAAATAGCTGTAAGTAGTGATATGGCAAAGTATTGGAAATTCACCAAATCACACTAGCTAAAACAAAAGCAAATACACACACGTCAAACATATTCATGGTAATGCAGGTAGTCTTCAACTTACAACAGTTCCTTTAATGACCGTTTGAAGTTACAACAGCACTGAAAAGAGTGACTTATGACCATTTTTCACACTTAGCAACCATTACAGCACCCCCATACTCATGTGATCAAAATTCAGATGCTTGGCAACTGACCCTCTGAGGATCGTGGGCTTCTGAGAAGCAAAGTCAATGGGGAAGCTGGATTCCCTTAATTTAACAGGTCCAGTGATTCACTTAACAACTGTGGCAAGGAAAGTTGTAAAATGGGACAAAACACACTTAACAAATGTCTCACTTAGCAACAGAAATTTTGGGCTCAATTGTGGTCGTAGGTTGAGGACTACCTGTACTAAAGGGAAAGAATTGTGGACAAATAATTAGAAATTGTAAGGAGTGCCGGGTGAAAGAGGGATGTGGCAAATCACAAGCAACCAATGAGTTGTTGGAGACGGCTTCCGTTTCCTCCCAGCCTGGTTTAGCAGTGGCTTTGAGGTGCAGCTTCAGTTATTAGCGGCTGAATTCCTTGCCTGCCATATCATGTTGCTCATTTGTGTAAGATGCCTGGCATGTGATTTCATCCAACTTCCATGAAAGAAAAATAAAGAGACAGGTTACATGGCCCACTAAGTCCAGAAGCTTAGAAATCATTACTGAGCATTTCCCGCTCCCAATGCATAATATCATTAGTGAGTTGTAACAATAGTTATGAAGCTAGTGCCCTCTAGAGGACAGAAACAAAATCATAATAACAAATGGGTTGAAGCTTCAGGCTGAAGAATGAGAAAAAAAGCTTTCGGAAGGAGTGGCAGACAGGCCTTCCCAAGTGTTAATTCATATCAGCCCAGCTAACAGAGGTGATAAAATGTAGGAGACAACAAATTCTCCATCCTTTCACCACTACTCTAGATTTTTGAAAAGGGATCGGAGAAAAATAGATGAAATTCATTACAGTGTGATCCATTAGCCACCTTGAACTGCTTTGTAAACAACACTATAAGCCCATCAGTGGTGGGATTCAAAAAAATTTACTACCGGTTCTGTGGGCATGGCTTGGTGGGCGTGGCAGGGGAAGGATACTCTAAAATCTCCAGTCAGAGGTGGTATTTGCCCGTTCTCCGAACTACTCAAAATTTCCACCACCGGTTCTCCAGAACTGGTCAGAACCTGCTAAATACCACTTCTGAAGCCCATGCTAAGGCTGCCCTGAGGAAATGACAGGGATCCTGTATTCCTTGTTCAAACAATTTGGGTGTATGCTCAGCCTGCTTTCTGCTAAACATTTTCCACATATTTGCATATAATTACAGTCCTGGCCGAGTTTCTACTAGCATACTTCAGAAAGAGATTGTGGGTCTTTTCAACACATGATTGTAAATACTGTAAAATACCTCTTGGTCCCTTTCCCTGCACAGATATTAATGATTTGGGATGAATAACTGTGGGCACATCTGTGTCAAGACATAGGATGGGTACCACTTTACTACTACCAGGTCAGAGGTGGTATTCAGCAGGTTCTGGCCAGTTCTGGAGAACCGATAGTAGAAATTTTCAGCAATTTGGAGAACTGGCAAATACCACCTCTGACTCACCCCATCTATTCTCTGCCTCCCAAGTCCCAGCTAATCAACTGGGTCTTCTTTTGTTGCCCTGCGCTGGAGAACGGAGCTGGAAAGCAGGTTAATGGGGTGGGGAGAGAATGAAGATTTTACAGCATCCTTCCCCTGCCACGCCCACCAAGCCACGCCCACAGAACCAGTAGTAAAAAAAATTCAATCCCGCCACTGTACCAGGTTGATGGCAAATGATGTTCATCAGGTATGTAAACACATTGGCTTAGCAAAGAAATGGCATTTAATGCTTTCAAACAAAAATTAGAGCTGTGGCACAGAATCTCCTATTTTAAATCATCATGAGATGTCTCTTAACACAAATGTATATGAAGGAGTGGTTTGAAAACAGTCCTTTACAGATTAGATTAGAACACTATTTTGTCCCAGAGAAGGAGGTGTGGAGGATCATTAAGAAGCTCATGATCTCTTCCACCATTAGATTGAGGAAGTTGCCTCAAGCATTGGCGCAGATGATGCTTAATGAAGAACCTGCCCTATACCTCTCTGTTGAGTTTGTGCAATGGAAGAGACAACCTCATCACCAGTGTGAAAGAGAAATTCAATTATAAATCCAGTGGCGTATAAATAAGAGGGAGTACGATCTTGTATTCATTTCAGATAGCAAAACTCTTGAAGCAGCCCTAATTAGACGTCACTTTTAATTATGTATAATTTGTGTAGGCTTAAGGCCAAGGAGATTATTTTCTTTGCCAAGGCACACAAATCTTACTGCTCACAGTAGGTGATATTCCCGTTGTTGTTGTCCAAATGGGGGTGAGGGAGATCACCCATGTATTCTTGAACTGCACTGATACTTTTCCTTGCCACTGCCTGCAAGATTTCTCCTTGGAAACAGATTCCAGTGTCTGCAGAACTGATCGGTGCAATAAGCTTCCTTGGTGAATACTGACTTGTACTCTGCCTGAACTGCATAGCATGCATTGGCTCATGTAATTCTTTCATATGGCAGGTAAACTGTCCCCATTTTTAAACGGTACAGGCGATCATTTCTCTCTCCCAATTCAAGATAGTATTTCCTCTTCCATCAGACGTACAGTTTAAATAAGTGAGATTGGGGTGGGATTCAACCGGTGTTACTACCGGCTAGGGGACTACGTTTGTACGCACATGTATGCTTTACGTGCACACACGTGTGTAAAAAACCTTAAGCTGTGCTGCCCGGACAGCTGAAACGTGCTGCGCGCAGGTGCACAGCGTTTGAAAAGCCACTTTTTTCCTGCTTTTTCAACCTCAGTTGTGCCACACAAAGCAGCTGAGGTTGAAAAAGCAAGAAATAAAGGACAGGTAGGAGCCCAGGCGAGCAGGTGGGCCAAACAGCAGCAAACACATAACCGGTTCGGTGTCTGCTGCTCTTCAGAGCTACCAGTTCTATAGAGCAGGGCAGAACAGGTAGCATCCCACCCCTGAGTGAGATATTCTCTTTTTACTTGAATCCAAAATAAATGCTTGCTTACCCACCCCATGACCTTCATTGGGAATGTGGTAGTTTGTACCCCTCAGGTGTTGCCGCCTTCTTCTCTTTTTTCCTGGTGGTACAACAAGGGTGAAAAAAGTTCTGTTGCCCCAAAGAAGTATTTTTCTAGGCATGAACACCAAGCAAGATGATATCAACTTACCACTTGAACTTATGATTTCTCAGTTGACAAATGCCACACAACATAGGATGATATTGCAATATAAAACATTATGCAGGGAATCTAAGATCAGTTATATTAACAGGAATCAACTCCATTGCTAACCTTGTGATTTTAATATACCACAACATCAATTTTAGGAACATAATTTTCAAGCAGAAAGAGTGATCCACATTTTAGATATGTTTTTATTTTGATTGCTACTGTGATTTTATTCTGAATTACACAAAAGCTAATGGCTTTGCTCCAAACCAACTTAAAATTAATGTTTATTTTATAATCAAATAGGAAATTATTTGAGCAGCACATATTACCTACTGAAATTTATAGGGTAGGGAATGTCTTCTTATATTTGAGTTAAGCCCCACTTTCTAATAGAATCTACTTGCACATTTAAGTTAATTTGGTTTTATGGTAGGACAAAGTAAAAAGTCAATGAACTAAGAAATGGATTATTTAAGAATAAGCTAAAGGAAGGAAAATATTCCTTTACAAAGAGCTCTATTTATAGGAATATTTTAAAGGCCACAAAAGGAAA